TCTCTACCCGGGACGGCCGGCCTGGCCCTATAGTGTCTCACCTGAAAATGGTCCTGCAGATGACGGCCGGGCTAGTGATGGCCACGATCAGATCATGATGGAGTTTTGCTCGGGCAGATCATGCTCGATCACCTTTGATCATACGGGTCACTCCATCAGATCATGCTCGAGTAGGGTTACTGCTCAGCCGTGTTCGATCATGATCGGTCATGATCAATGATTCTATCAATACATATACATATAACACTGCATACAACAGCAACAGCCCTTCTGTTCTGATTTTTCGTAGTGCCATTAGGTGTGGGTTCGTCTTGATTTCTTTGGACAGACTCTCTGTTGCTCTCCCCCCAATCGAGCTTCTTTATTTCACTATTTCTCCATCCCTGCCCTTTCTTTTAGCAGACTATACGGCATGCCGAAGGTCCCAGAGACCTTGCAGTATGTCAGAACTTGAAATTTTTCCACTCTTCCCGGTCTTTTGAAAACAAGATTATCGTGCGAGGTTCTAATCAAAAGCCCTCAGAAAAGAGACAGTTGTCAAGTTACCGGACGACTAAGCAAGACCGTCGATCGGGTGGAAACGCTGAGCTTCCAAATGGATCATCCGATGCAAACGTCCAGGGTTAGGCCACTACCTGGGAATCTCGAGTTTGACGAAGCTAAGGTCTATGATTATCTACGTCCTTCGGCAATTGGACAAAGCAGGGGGCTTATGAGATCTTTACTGGTCTGATTGAGAATGGGGGCACAGTTGTTCCGACTTTCATATTCGGATTACCAAATTTCAATGTACCTGTAGTTCTCCCATAGGCCCCCAATGGCTTCCCGATACTCCTAAGAGGGGATTACATCCACCTAATAGTTGGGCTTCGGATGATATGGGCACTCCAACAGGTGGCGGATGTGAAGGAAATCACTCTACAAGAAGTATCTCTCGGGATTGGAGGTTCGCGAACCGTCGGTTGATAAAGAAAAATAATAATATCTAAGGACTTACCAGGAACCCTTGATGGAGTGGGGAGTTTTGGAGGCTTTTTAAAGCGAACCTCTTCGCCTGGCGGGGTGTTCGGTCTTACGGCAGCACACTATGTACCCGAATCTGCAATCGGTACACCAATCTGCTCGCCTTCGACTCTTGAAGTCACAGGAAGGTTTCAGAGGCTGATGAGGTATACTACACTTTGTCCGCTAATTGGCCGTGTGCATGTCATTACATGCAAAGATTTTGAGGTCTAGTCGTTACTTCAACGATTTAGCTTTCGGTCCTGTGAATATGGTACCGCCTTCCTAGATCCCGCCAACAAGTCGCAGCTCAGAAGTGTTGCGAGGTGGGATCGCTGGACTAACAAACAGACGATGGTGGTGGAGGAGAAAGGAACTTCGTTACTGTTCTCAGGAGCAAGCCTGCAAGATATCTACAAGAAACTAAACAACGTGTGACTGCTCACTCCAACCTCAAGCCCTTCAGGCATCCAAACCCTCATCACCAAAGGTGTACGCCACACCAGGAATCATCTCTCCTCAACATCCTCACTCAGGCTGATGCACACGATCACATCATACACTGTTGCCCATCCACTCTCAACACTCTCAACAAGAAGGGGTGTTCTCTGCAGTGGGTGACTTGGAGCAGTTGTGGCTCTGCAGTTCGGTAATGACAAAGAACTACTATACCGCTACGATCAAGAACTCATCGAAGTTGGGCTTCCTTCCTTTTCGGCCGAGATATCCTAGGAAACCAGGATGGATTAGTTTATATTTTTGTGCATTGGGGATCGGTGCGCTCACTGCCATTACTATCTCTGATTGATGGGTTAAGGTTTACTAATTTCTATAAAACTGTACAGATATGGTGGAAATGTTTACCAGGAGGAGGCTCTTTGTGAAACAGGTCTCTTCTGTACCCTGGGATGGAGGTCAAGAAGATCGGGCGCACAACCGGGATCGGTCGCGGTCGAGTGAATAGGGTTCTGCTACAGCATTGGGATTCTAGCAAGGCCGTCTACGAAATTGCTATTATTGGGACCCAAGGACTACCTTTTGCTGTGAAGGGGGATTCAGGGGGATGTGTGCTCATTTACGTGAAGGGGGCATATAAAGCTGCTGGGGTCCTCACGGCGGGGGATGGGGCCCACGATATTGCTCTTGCAACACCATTGCATATGGTGCTGGATTCCGCAGTAGGGTATGAGTGGGCGTAAATGGAGACAGATTGTACCGCATCATAGTCACAGAAAAAGGGAATCCTCACATCCTGCTGATTTGTTGTTACCTCTTTTTAAATAAGATAAAATCACTTGTTGTGCTCTGCCTGGCATTCATGAGGGATTGCTAACTGGTTTGTTTCTGAGTGGAGTGGAAAAAGTATATGGGGGAATATGAGGTATATGGAGTACTCCCCACAAGACCCAAAGAGCCTTCAGATATGCTATACCCGTAAGCTCTAACAATATTTACTTGTTGAAAGATTCATAAGAGTAGAACACCACCGGTATACAGGGTCGTGGAGCACCGTATCCGCACTATTGAAACTCGGGAAGTGTCGAAGGGAGAAAGCGTACTTGGGTACGATGAAAACCCGTACAATTTACCTTCATATTATCTACCTTCTAAATGCTAGTTGACGAGATCCGTCACATTCCCTAGGGGCTAATCTTATGCCATTCTAGGAAAACGCTAATCCTTCTTGTGAGCTTTTGACCTAGAATTAGGGGATCGCAGGGCCAGCGTGAGTAGCGGGTTGTGGGTGTTTTTGCCTTATTCCGGGCGACGGCCCGGATATATATCTAAGAGAAAAAAAATCAAAAAAATCCAGTATTTGACTTTGTATGTTCTGACTGTGGTTACGCAAAGCGGTGCAAGGCTTCCAATGGGTCGGGCCTCGTTGGGTTAACCCGGGTTCGCCATGGGGCTAGGTCGGGTTCCCTGAGTTTCCGTGGGTTGGGCCATGTATTCAGGTTCCTTGGGTCCCGTAAATTTGTTGTAACTATCATAACTTACTCGAGTACTCGAGTAGAGTGTATCCCATCGAAACGGTACTCCAGGATACGCAGCCCAACATCATTATGATACATCCAAGAGGTATCGTAAGCCAACTCCGCACCTCCGCCTGTCGCTCCGGCTGTGTGGTACGGACTCAACCGCACATCCAGTAGAAAGAGCGTCATGCCTGCAGCAGGCAGAACTGGCGGACGGTAAGTACCCTTAGCGTGTTCCGAAGCACAGGAACAAGACCAGAACATGGCAATCCCAAACCCAAATGAACGGGGTTCAAACCATTGGACCCGCGAACCTAAACCAATCCCGAGGTCACTGCCATGGGCAAGGCCAAACCTGCCCCCCTCCACCACAGTTGGAACCCACCCTCCCGGATGATCCGTCGGGCAAACAAAAGCCGAGTCCTATCATACCCCGCACAGCCACCGCATCCCGATTCAGGGGATAGCTATGGACTAAGCGGGCAAGGTCCCCATTCCAGGCTGCCAACGAAGAAAATTGTGGGACGACGGCATTCCCCACCGAAAGAAACTGCGTATTCGAAATAACCATCAACAACCCCGAAATATTTGGGGTTCAAACCACTGGATAGCTAACTTCAATTATCACAGGGAATTGCCCACAGAGGTTTTAGAAAATTCTTGTCGAATCATTTCCCATCTATAGGTGCCGCATTCTAAATTACCTCCCGCAGCACCCCCCAGAAAGGGATTATTTGGTGTGGAAACCGGGATGTTTTCGAGTTCCGGGCTTACTTAACCTAGCGGGTGAAGTAGAAACGACACCTTTATTCCCAAAAGGCCGAAAAGTAGAGTGGAGAAGCGATAGGATGAATGTATCAAATTGTTTTCCCCCTGATGCCGAACTCTATGTTGATATTGATGTGCGGGAACTCCCTACCGGTATTTTGGTGTGAAACGTGTGTTGTCCCACTATGTTCATTTGTGTGGGGGTAGTAATAGGGTTGGGTACGGGTAGAGTTCTAGAAGGCTTGACCCAAATTACCTGACTAATCCAACAAATTCTCCTCACGGTTTTCCAGCTTAAAAGATACCCTGTTATCTATCATAAGTTACAGGAGAATTTTCAGTCACCGTGGGAGCAATAACCCGGGCCGACAGGACCGGGAGACACCACCGCCGGGAAAATCGGACGGTGCAGAAACACTGCCCATATCGAGTCAAGGAAATATACCGCCGTTCATCCTAGTCTTCATTAGGATTTTTTATACGAGACACAGCGCCTCTGAGGGGTTGGCGGTCTTCAGCCACCAATGCTTCCTGGATTGTTCTGAAATTGAATATTTGACAACATTTCCGCAACAGACCCCGGAGGACTCGCATTCCAGAAATCCAACTGTCTCCTTACTTTCTAGCCCCCGCCAACGACCAGAGCATACGCCCGGTGGGCGATCGAAGGCCGAACAAACTTGAACTATTTGAAACGGATCCTCAAGCTGTCCAATCAACCACAAATATGAGTTTGCCCTCTGTTATCAGTGGTGTTCTCCAAGGTACGCTATCCATCCTGCGAACTCCTAGCTAGCTTCCAGTTCCTTGTCTTTACGAATCTGGTTGCGGGGATGCCCTGGGCTTCAGTTATTCACAGGTACACGATCTGAAGCATCGGGAATTATAACTACAAAATGCGTCATGAGCTGGAAAGGCGATAAAGAGAAAATATCCACTCTTGCCGTCCTGGGAATGGGACCACCATAAGGTCTCTTAATGGAACCTTAAGCCTAGTAAGGATTTCATCGGTCTCTCTTTAACGGCCCGATATCTCCGATGGATCGCTTGGCAGGTGGACCTGATGGTTCTTTAGGTTAACCCGGTTTACAATTCCTTGGGTTCAGTTATGTTAGGCTTTAATTCGGCCCGGGTCGGCCCGGGTCCGCTCATTTTCGGATCCGGATCAACCGATTGGAAGGCTTGAAGCTCCCGGCGCCTTGGAGCAGTTGTTTAGGTGGTGGAAAATAGATGTGATACGGCTACGATTAAGAGTTACGAGAAGCCGGCCCGCTACTCTTTTTAGCCAGGGCCTCCAGGGAAACCAGGATGGACTGTTGCATATTTCCTATTTCTGATTAATAGGCCACAGATCACTAATTTTCCATAAAACTATACAGATATGGTGGAAGCGTTTTTGAGGGCGAGGCTGTTTGTGAAACAGGATCTCCGTACCCAGGTGTCGGCGCGGCGAAAGTAACAGCCTGAGGATATATCGGTAATTTAGGATAATTTCATTCCATGCTCTCGGTAAATTGGCACTATCTCGGCTTTCAGAGTTCTTCTGGGTGGATAAAGGCGCCGGGTGAGAGAGAGAAGAAAGATATTCGCTTTGCCTGAGTACAACGAGTGCGCGACGACGGAGAATGAAAAACGCGGGACGATAAAACACTGACGGCTTGAAAGAATGAAATTGTTGGGGCTTACTACTCGTATGATGCCTCAAACGTTGTTTCACACACGACAGAAAAACACATGACAGAAAAACAAGGGACGGGAGCACAGGCACTCGAGTAAAGGACGTCATTGTATCCCCGCAGAATTGATGCCGTCCCCACTAGAAATCCATATATGGTAATACAACAACTCGTACCGGCTATCCGAACATTTGACCCACCAATCCCTGCGCTATGGCCCCCTAGAAACGCTTTTTCCCCCATCGTAGTTAATAATACCCTGAAGTGTTAGGATTCGTGAAACCAACAATTGGCTTGACTGAATCCTCTAATATCCACCACCCAGACCTAGGCTGCACCGTAGTCAAATCCCCTCCACCATCCGCGGCAGAAGGAGCCATCCCGACAGAGCCCGCAACCATGGTTGTCTCGTGCTCCAGACCGGTCGCGTGGTCCTCGACAACAACGGGAACGGACACGACTCCTTTGGGAATACTTGAGGGGTGTATGATGGGGTAGACAGCATCACCCAGGACCAGTCTCTTCCGCTCGGCAATACTTGTCTTAGATTCATAGCGGCCTAGCTGTTCATCCGAGTATTCCGGTGTCCGCTGACCGGTTTCCTTGAAGAAGCAGAAGGCGGTTATCCAACCCGATATGGTGGACGCGTTATCCCCGGATCCATCCTGCCCCGCGGCATGGCAGGCTCGCAGCCAGAAATTCTTGATGTCTGGCGAGGTTGGCTGGGAGAAGGATGCGATCATGTACTGGATGATGGGCGTTAGGAGGCGAGTCCATTCGGCTGTTTGAGCGCCATACTTTGGCAACTGTTGAACCTTGCGGAGGACCTCTTCCCAGTCCGATTTCTCGCCTAGTAGGGTTACGGAGGGAAATCCACACCCGCCACGAAGTCTGTAGGTAAAGTACCTCTGCAAAGTTCCCATCATGACTATTGCTGCGACGGACTTATCCTCGTCGGTTGTGGTGCTGAAGTTTGGCATAATGAGTTCTCTGAGCTGTGCATCCACCACATTTTGGTGAATCAGCACCGTCATGGCCTGCGCAAACTTTCCCATATCTATACTGCGGATTGAGTGTGGGCGTATGTCAACTGTGAGGTTTTTTTGGCCCTCATGGGAGACAAATTGGGCGCGGAGATGTTCAGCGTTCCCGTTGACGAACATACTAAACTGCGTGAGAATGGAAAGCCAGATATCGTCGGGTCGTAAAACAAGGTGAAGATCCTGCTGGAATGCGCGGATGACACCATTGACTAGGCCATTGCCGTATGGGATTATCCGGGAAGTATGGGGGTTGAGTTCATGAAAGGAGGATTGAATGATTCGGCGCTTGTCCGGCTGGTCCATTTTACCGGTCCTTCTGTTAAGGCTTTGACGTTCTGGTGCCCAGGCTTGTGATGCCTCTGCCAACAGGGTCTCCGCCGAATGGACCGTGAGGTCGGCATTGCGGCCCACGAGCTCAGGCGAGGGCTTGACTGTTACTGGCATTGCTGCTGGTGTCAGGAGGTGGAATTCAGGTCGTTTCAACTCTGGTACGGAGACGGCTTGGTCGGTAGTCAATTATATAAGCAGGGAGAGGTTTCTGGAGAGCAATAGACAAGGAGGATATGAAACTGAGTTCGTCAGCCACTGACACCGCTCAGGTATGATCCCTGGGATAGAGGATGAGCGTACAAGTGCGGGAAAAATGCTCGCAATAAGCCACTGAGCGCCGATCGGAAGGAGGAAACGGGAGAGGGGAGTTCGGGAAGACAGGCTATTTGGTGGTAGTGGGGATGGGGTTGGTATCGGGCAGTCTGGATAATAGTACCGATGCCGGAAGTGCTGTTCCCGTGGACGGTAGCAGTAGCACTAGTCTACCAACAGCGCTTTAGAGGAATAGGAATCATTACTTATAGTCTGTGCTAGTACCACCAAATCCCTAGGCCGCCGACCGTCGGCACGGTAATTGGGTATCATTCGGGAGGGCGATCGGGGTGGTGTCCCCCACCCCCCAGATGGAGCACCATGACGTTCCGACCAATAAGGGCTTCTGAACACCAACAGATTCGCCCAAAAGCACAACGCCATTAGCCTTGGGCGCAACTCTCCGTGTCAATAAGGCTGACGAACTCACTTTTTTCCTCCCTGCAGCAGAGATAGAGGGCTGTTATTTTTACGACTTCCCTTTACCATCTCCTAGGATGGTGGGGCACGGTGCGAATTACTGGGGAACCCCGGGTTAGCACATACTTTTTCTCAAAGCCTGATAACTTGACGATGAAATGTGAATTGAGACTACTGTAGACACCGCAGTAATGATGAGCAGACAATTTGGGCTAGAAGTGAAGAAGCCCTGCTGGCCTTTCTTCTCACCTAGAATTGTAGTTTTATGTTTGAATATTGAATAATGCTGCGCTTATTTAAAGCATTATTACTCCCTATGGGTACTTCGGTTTATGAACTTGTTCGGGCTTGTTCGGTATGGCTTGTGATCCGGCCGGAGACCACGGTAGGCTATTGAAGTTAACCAGTGGCGGCCCGATGAATCCGCGGGAGGCGCCGGGGGGGGGGGGGGCGGCGAGTAATATGTAGTAGAGTTTGTTTTCACTGTTTGCCTTGTGGTGATGCCAGGGTTAGGGCCTCTTTCTCGTCACAGTAATGGGATCGATACAGGTATTTTAGAAACCCTCGTTTCTGATTTCGCTATCCTAGCCTGATCGCCTGATTGTATTGTGGCTAACGGGCCGTGCTGCTCTAGAGAAAAATTAGAGATTTCCCACAAACCCCTATACTCGCGGACTTCTAAGATACACGGACACCTTGGCGCCAAAGGTCTGCCCTTTCGGTGGGCCATGGCAATGAGGTGTCCGGATACTCGCGGGATTCGCGAGTGACAGGGGTCAGAGTGAAGGTTTGCGACGGCAAGCAGAGGTGCCTTAAAGTTTCCACTACACGGGTGGGGTGGAATACCACGGGAGCTGGAACAATTGTGAATCTTGCTATTCGTATCATAGGACATCGGGGTTGCTTCTCTTAGTAAGGTCTGCTGTCTCAACAAGGGGTCGGGAAGGATCCCTGAGCTATTCTCCCACAGCCGAAAGGAGGAACTCTGGACGTCTAACTGTGATTCTTGATCCCTCGTTCCCAAAGTGGTCGCTTCAGGCGGTGGGTCGCCTATTGTGGGGGGGGGGAGAAGAATTATTGGAGCCACGACTTGTGAGGAAAAGTGGGTTACCGGGAAAGGGAAGAAAGAAGCAAGTGAAATAAAAGGAGGACACATATACCGGTATGCCTGTAGCATTCTCGCTGCTTGTCTAGCTTCTTACTCTTCCCCGCTTATCTTTCTCGGCACAGTGGGCCCACAGCAACCCTGGTAACACAAGAAGCGCACCCCTCCCCCGGGTTTTCCATACAAAACAACAATTTTCGATATATGAGACCCCTAAGTTACCCAACAGAAAATAGTGAGAAAAATTTGGCAGTTTTTTGCGAGGGAGTGTTTTGCATAGATACCCGCATAATTAAATATCAGGTTACAGGAATTGTTGGATAAAAGCTGAAAGTCTGAGCTCTGAAGGGGAGGTGAAAATCCGTGCCAAGACTGCCAATTTCTAAGGGGTTTTGCGTAGCAACAAAATGGGTCAACTTCGTAATGCTGTATTAGTCTCTGGGGCTATCTATAAAAATTGAAAAAACCATAATGTTAAACTCTACACGAATGCTCCTCATGTTGCCGGGGTCTTGAGGACAGAATTTTTTGTGGTTGTTGGTGGCGAATTGGGGGTCGGAAATCTCTGTGGAAAACCAGGGGGTGAGTTTCTTTTACCACGCGTGCACAAGCACTTGGCTATGAGGTGGAGAGCTGGCAGCCGGTGCTTCTAGACACCTAGCCTTACCACCCTCGTAGGGGATGGAGGAGTGAGTTTGGGGCGGAAATTACAGAAACAAGAAAGAAGCTTGATATCATACCTCAAATCCCTACCTCTGCGATGGCCCACGTTCATCAAGTGAACGTTGCCCTACTATCATACGGTAATCTTCCTATACGGACCGGCAGGTTCTAAGAGGTTACTAAACAGGAGTTGGCGATCCGGTAGCGGTATCACTGGGATTGTCTTTATTCCTCGTCCTCTAACTTACCTGCTTCGCCCCTCTGGTTTATTCCAACGCTAAATTGTCATAGCATTCTCCACCGAGGCCGGCATCCAATTTGAGCTGAGCACCGTTTCAATCGCCGGCCGGCTTGTTCACCCACCGTACCTCCTTCCTTTCCGTTGGAATAGACTGACGGTCCTGGCCAGCACCCCTCGTCCTCTGGGCACCTCACCGGCCCCAATCACCCCCTCACCCTCTCTATCAGAGAGTGTTAGGAATCACGGGCGAGTGAGATGGGAGGTATACGGACTCGAGGCTACATCCTGAGATTGTGCAATCAAGCCTTAACCACCGCGTAGTTTTGCGTAGACCGGATGTTGGAATAGGTATGCGGCGGACTACATTTGCGTTCTGATATCTGCTCAGGCCTCCCAAGCAGAGATTCGCTGTCCTTATTTGCATTTCTTAGATTCTGGTCTCTCTCTTCTTGGAGCTGTATCTCTTCTTTGCACCTTGTTTTCATGGAAATAGTCTTCATTCTCTTATTAATCTGTCTCGTACTGACAACATAAATCGTAACACTTTCACTATAATCCCAGGTTTGGTTCTCAGAATATGCAAGTCTAAGAGTTGACGTGCTCCGGAAATCCCGGCAAGCGTCGAATCTAGCTACATGGCGCGAGCTTGGAGCTTGTGACTACTGCAAATACTACCCCCGCCTCCCCGAAACTCCTAATTATGCTGCTGGGCCAGAAGCTAATTGGATCCAGGTGGGTGAGGGGATGGTGGTAAAACGTACCATAGGCAATTACCCAACAGTCATTCGGCATTAGGATCGGGATGACAGGGAGGCGATGGTGACTTACCAGTGGGATATGTGGGAATCTGTAGGGACTGGAAAAAGGTCATCGGTGGGCGGGGGTAGCAACTCTCGGATATTGCGGGGATGCTACAAACTATCCCTTCCGATAGGTGTACCATCATATGTTTCGGCCATTTGGATGGGTGTGTAACAGAAGATGAGGCCAATCTTCGCAATTGACCCAAATCCTCCGGAACTCTCGATATTTATGACTGGGAATATGCATACCAGAACGAAACTGGGAACCGTCTTTCTAGAATAGAAACGGCCATAAGCGTCGTTCTCATGGCAGTTAAGATTATCAAGCATCTTTACACTTGGTTGGATGAGTAGACATCCCCGGATGTCATTCAGAGTGTCCTGGGGGCAGATATCCTGAGGGAAATTCATGAGGGTATCTCTGAAATGTACATAGAAGCCATGACGCCCCGGAAGATACCTCAAGATATCCCCTAACGGATACATATCCAGATTTCTGCTTGTATTCCTGGAGGTCGCCGCGATTCTGCAGAGGACTAAATTTTTTTGCGGGCAACAAAAGGTTAACATGAGAACTGATGGCTGGGGGTTGGAGGATGCTTATGGTGCAGCACTAAGTCGGATAAGGGGTAGGGTGGGAGGAAAGAGAAGCTTTCCATTGCCGTAATTTTAATGTGGATCTCTCACTCAGAGCGGCCCGTGAACATTATGGGTTTGTTTTTAGGCACCCGCACCCGTGAAAGGCTTGCTGGATCCCCAATAGTGGCAATTTTCGTGCGATAGGGACATTTCCAACTCGTTGCCAAAGACGTGTTGTCATAGACAACGCGGCTTCCGCAATCCTTCTATTTCACTTTATTCTTCAAGAAAAGCTCCGGTCTTACCTAAGGCATTTAACCTCAGCTCACTCGGCAGCGGGAGAGACCTGCCTGGGTTATCGGAACCCGTAGCAGCTCATGGCTCTTTCGAACGAACCCAGTTCAAATCTCCGAGGTGCATTGTCCCTCAAATATTCTTCCGCGCACAAAAATGGACATTTTAGATTGTGTGAAACTGAGTAAAATTGAAGCTGTTTGACACCGCAGTAACAGGGTGTCCACCAAGGCCCTTGCCAAAGCGCTAGAATGGTATGTTTGTTGTATCGGTTTCGATATGTTTTCCAGGTTCGTTTGTCAACACTGCTCATTAATGTGCGGGATTGATGAGACTGTAGCTGGTTTAGTGGTGGTGGAAGGCGGTGATACCAGCCAAGAAGACTACATGGATAATAGGCCTGTCGCGAAGGATGCTTGGAGTGGACGCGAGGGAGTCGTCAACATGCTACCAGGTCCGAATGACATCAACCCCAATTGACTAGATCAGGATGGCCATATACTGCACTAGTGGGCTGCAGTCAATAGGAAGGATGGGATGAAATGGGGAAAAGTAAAACAGGAAAGCCCGAGGTGTTATTCACCCTGGTCGGAGGAATCAAAGGTTGAGCATAAGGTCTTGCGGGAGAGGCCAATGTCCCGTTGTCGGTGAAAATTTAGATATCCCTTGGGCCATACTTGGAAGGAGTTGGCAGCTGGGAAAAAGGCTATGAAGAAAATGAAAACATAGACGATCACTCGGTGGTGGACAGTTAAAAAAAGTCCTATCAATGCATCCTGCAGTGAGGTAGCTCCCAGATATCCGTCCCCTCCGGTACCTGGGATCCCAGTATTTTCTTTGAGGAATGATTAGTGGCCCATTTCCTCACCGGAGGGTTCCTCCATTTCCCTACATTCGCCCGCTTCGCCGCGCTCTGGAAATTCACTTTCACTCAAGTGGCTTCGTTCTTTCCTTGGGACCCCAGATTCAAGAGTTGCAATTTTTCGGAAATTGGTTGAGGTATCATACCGGTACTTCGCCCACTGGGTTTGACTGGTTGCACACAGTTTTGATGGGGCTTATTTTTCTACTAGATGGACCAACATCCGGGGGTTATATCGCTAATTTGGCCTCATCCTATGCTCGAGGAATAGGGGTACTGGAACTTGGTTTTTAGATTTGATTCGTGTGCATCACGACACCCCTGGCGAGAGATAGAGGGGAAGAAAGTCACCCATTTGGTCTAGGTACAAGTGGGCTGCTTCGAAGAACAAAGGACGTGGGGCTGTGGGAGGCTGAGAGTTTGCAGGAATAAAATTGCGGGGGCTCATGGTGCCTCACGCCTTGTTTCATACACGGCGGGGAGGCAGGCGACAGTAGATGCAGGTAAAAGACGTTTTTGCACCCCCCACATTAACTAGATGCGATAGCTACCAGAAATCCACACACTTCAACTTTTCGTACTGGCCATCTAAACACATACTCCACTAATCCCGAACTTAAGCTCTCTAGTGAGGCTTGTTTTCCCGCCCTAGCGAATACAACCCCGCGGTGTTGGGATGTGTGGAGCCATCAATTGGCTTGTTTTGGGTTCTCCAGTACCCACCAGCCAGGTCTGGGCTACACTGTAGTCAAGCCCCTTCCATCATCTGCAGCTGCAGGGTCATTGAGACAGAGCCCACAACCATGGTTGTCTCGTGCACCAGCCCGGTCTCGTGGTTCTCGACAACAACAGAAACGGACACGACTCCTTTGGGGATACTGGAGGGGTGTATGATGGGGTAGACAACATCACCTAGGATCAGCCTCTTTTGCTGGTCAATGGTAGTCAAATCGGCGTAGCTACCCAACTCTTCATCCGAGTATTCCGGGGTCCGCTGACCGGTTTCCTTGAAGAAGCAGAAGGCGGTTATCCAACCCGATATGTTGCAGATATTATTCACGGATCCATGCTGCCCGGGGGCGTGGCAGGCCGGAGCCAGAAATTCTTGATATCCGACGAGCCTGGCTGAGCGAAGGATAAAACCGTGGGTTGGATGATGGGCGTTAGGAGGCGGGCCAATTCGGCTGCTGGGGACCATACTTTGGTAGGTATTGAACCTTGTGGAGGATTTCTTTCCAGTCAGATTTCTCGCCTAGTAGGGTTGCCGAAGGAAATCTGCATCCGGTGCGCAGTCTGTAGTCGAAGTACCGCTTCAGGGTCCCTATCATAATTATCGCGGCGACAGACTTATTCTCATCGGTTGTGGTGCTGAAGTTCGGCATTATCAGGTCCCTGAGCCGCGCATCCACCACCTTCCTGAATCAGGACCGTCATTCCCTACGCAAGCTTTCCCATATACATACTCTGGATTGAGTGTGGGCGGGTGTCGACCGTGAGTTTTTTTTGCTCTGATGAGAGACGAATTGGGCTCCGAGTCCAGTTGACAAACATGCTGAATTGCGTCAGGACAGAGAGCCAGATATCGTCGGGTCGTAAAACAAGGTGGAGATCCTGCTGGAATGCGCGGATGATATCATTGACTAGGCTATTGCCATGCGGGGTTCTCGGGGGGGGGATGGGGGCTGGGTTTGTGAAAGGAGGATTGAATGATCCGGTGATTGTCCGCCTGATCCGGCTTCACTGTTAGCCTGAAATTTTCATATGACAGTCTCAAAGCATTAGATGCATGTTTTAGTAGGTCCTCCGCCGAATGGACCGTGGGGTCGGTATTGCAGCCCACGAGCTCAATCAAGGCTTGGCGGTGACTGGAATTGTTGCTGGTGTCGTGAAGTGGAATTTGTAGGTCAAACTTTGTGTTGGGAGCGGCTCTGCTGGTTGTAAATATTGCAAACAAATGTGAGCACTCGGAGAGCAATGGATGAAATGGAATATGAAGCTAGATCTGTCAGTGGCTGGTATCCCACAAGGCAAGTATGATAGCGCAAATGGATGGCAAACGTACGAACACCTGAGCAAAGCTCTCAATGAACTACTCAGCGACGTTTGTAGTGATGGGCACGATCATGGTCGAGCAGATCATAGGTGTTCTGCTCGAGCATAGTCTGATCGAGAGGACCCCATGATCGAATGATCGAGCAAATTGGGAGGCCCTGGTCGAGTGATCGAGTAGTGATCGAGCATACTTGAGTCGAGCTGATTGTCATCTCCATTTTCATGTAAAAATATTGCCTCCAACCGCAGGTGCTCTGATGGAACACTTTGCAAGAGTGTTAGTCAAAAGGCTATTCAGGGGCCATTAACGCAATATTTGGTAGCCATTGTCGGTAGAATTTCAACCACTCAATAATATCTATATTCCGGTCTACCCTTGGCTCTTGGAAGTGGATGTCAACTTGGGATTTCATGAGATCATTGTCTAGAGCAAGGGAATTTTAGACAAGTAAATTGGTGGGTCAGGCATGTTGGGGGTTCAGTGGTGACGTGCGATATCAGGGACATGATATTGAGTGTGCGGTGCAGACAATGATTATATTAATAGATATTGGGTCATTTCCAGGACAGATATATGTATAGGTATTGATAGAGTCACCGATCATGATCGATCATGATCGAACATGGTCGAGCAGTACCCCTACTCGAGCAAATCGAGCAGATCATGAGGGTCCTGCTCGAGCATAATCTGATCGAGTGACCCTTATGATCGAGGGTGATCGAGCATAACCTGCTCGAGCAAAACTCGATCATGATCTGATCGTGGCCATCATTAGACGTTTGGGGGGGGGATAGGACGGGGAGTCCTGAAGGACAGAAGTTTGGTAGAAGTGGGGATTATGGTGGTATGCTGTACTGCTAGTAGTGGTGGTATCATACCAATGTGGGAGGGTATGGGTTTACTGGGCTGTGGTTGCATATCTGGGTTGTGGTTGCATATTCCCGGTGTCTTGACACAATATTTTCTGTAGACACAAAGACAGGCTCATTATTCTCTTCCTGCTCTCCAGAAGAGTGAGAGACAAAGCCAACTACTACCTCGATAGGGGGATGACGAACACCACATACGGTAATTATCGACAAGCAGCAAATGCAGATTTCCTATCTGCCTAATCCGGCTCTGTTTCCTCTTCCCTCCCCGCTCATCCCCCAATTAAACTGTTACCGTTTCCTGTCACTTTCCTACAGCTTATCCTGCGGTGTGTGGCATAGCTAAAGTCCATCTTTTCCACGGGTGCCGGCTCAGCCGAACACCATCGAAATCCTAGAAGTCAACCGAGACACTTCCACACCGGTACCGGTGTGGTGTGAGGAAGGTTTTAGGGGTTTTCTGGTCATGTTTTCTGGGTTTTTACCCATAGAATTTTCTGTTTGGGATGAGGCTTAGCAGGTGGCTGTTTTTCACCTGGAGGCATGGCCTTGCCTTCCTCAGAGAGAGCGGAGGAACGACACAGCGAGAACCCATCCTGTACAACCAGCTCCACCACTTTCTTTACTGTTGTTTCTAGGTGTTGTTTCCCCCACTCTTTTCTCTTGCTTTCTCATTGTGTTTTACTGTCAACATTATCAGCATAACTCTACACTCTTATCCGATTGAATATTACGTTGTACAGTTATCACAATTGCACAGGTGTCAGCTCGGTTAATCACACCATCCAAAATACGGAAGTCAACCGAGATACTTCCACACCGGTAGTGTTGTAATGGTCGGCGGTAGAAGTAAAGCTACAAATAACGGCACCCGCACAGATGGGGATGAAGCGATTACTTAAAGCACAGGCAAATACTGTACCACCAGCAGTATCGTAATGGGGTACGGGGAGACAATCGAGGTGAACGAATTGACCCTCAGGTCCAGACTGCCATGATTTGGCCAGGAAGGACTCTGGAAAATCTACGGATTCGCCCAACAGAACAAGGCCATCGGTTTTAGGCTCGCTGGAACAGGGCTGACGAACTCACCTTTCTCACCTGCCTACGGGCAAGAATAAAGGACTGCTATCTTCACGACTATCTTTTTTCCTCTCCCTAGATGGTGGGATACGGTCCAAATCGCTTAGGCCGCTCTCTGGTCACCATGTATGATTCGTACCTCCACAACCTTGAAGACTTAGCGGTAAAATGTGGGTTGCACCTAGGAACCGCAATGGTGATGGATCGATTAGGATCGCTTGTTAGAGTATGAGGAAATATTCGTTGAATCAATACCGATATCTCAGGAACCTTCGTTTTTGACTCCGGTAATACAGATAAGGTGAAAGATTTTGTGTTTTCGCCTCGAGACCGATATGCCATTCCGGAGAAAGATGGTGGTGCCGGGCGATCCTCGCTGCTCCCAAATTTCAAAGATATCGGGTAAGCCTTGGCGTCAAAAAGCTGAAATCGCGAGTAATCTGTGCCAAAATGAAGGTTTGGGGCGGCAGCCAGAGGGGTCCTACGGTTCCCATGATAACAGCAAGTTTGGATGATAGTCGCCATAGTTCCTCTTCCATGGATGGGACAGAATACTGGAATAATTGAGAATCATGCTTCTCATAGGATGTTGGAGTTGTGTACCCTAGCGCTTGTCCGTTGTCTCAAGGAAGCGGTGAAAGGGACCCTCGCGCCATCTTTTTCCGCCTGAATCCAAAGGGGGGAATTCTGGACGCCCTAGCGTCATTTCAACCACCCAATGCCACCAAGGTGGCTGTTGAAGTGTTGGTCTTTCCTGTTGCTATCTATCATAGAGAGATGATTCATGTTTTCTCTTTCTCTGTTTTTCTCTCCCTCACAATCCCCTCCGGGAATAGTTGAAGGGACGTTAATTCCACTGACGGTGGAACATTGCCCCTTCCTCAATGTGACTGCATGCTCAACCTTTTTATTCCTTCTGCCCGGGTGAGTAACACCTCCGGTTTGAATGTTTTGTGTCCCCCCATTCACGAAATGAAAGATGATAGCAAGTGCCCACAGTGGATGCTTTGCAGCGGTGGAAGAATAACACTTGTGCGGAGGTAGGAAAGGATGTATTCGACAAGTGGTCGTCGACCACTTGTTCCCTCTATATACAGAAAGAGAAAACATCTGTGGCTGTCATCCAAACCCTCACAACAGGAAGAAACACACATAACCACAGTCACAACCTTTCCATCCAGAACATAACATGCCCTCCGTCTGAACCTTTTTATCCTGCCCACAACCACCTGGGATTACATCTCCATCAAAAGATACTGCTTTCACACAGTCCAATTCACCAAGCTGAAAAACTTGTACACTTTTACACTTGCATTCCGATAGTGACTACTATCCCTAAAAACAGTGGCCACCACGAACGGTAAGTTATCTATCATAGGAGCGGGGGGATATTCGTTCGATGCTTGACAAGTGAGAAGGGGCAAGTGGCTTGGAAAGGAAAAGAATATAGCAGAAAAATAACAATAGAAAATATATCAGCCATTCTCTCTCAGGTTGCCTCAATTATTCCTGTCTGCTTCGCCTAGGTTATACATCCTAGTCAACTGATTCTTCCACCCTGCACTCTCGTTTCCCTTCCATGTGCTCGAGCCTACGAAGGGGGTTGATAAAATAAACTGACCGAACAACGGAGATCGCATAAGTCTAGACCCTCTGGGTGTCTAGATTCGTGGGGTATCAGCCGGTCCTCTACTTGTAGTCCTGAGAGGTTGGAAAAGTCACCACGATATCTAGCACTCTGATTAGCTCCCGATCAAAGTCAAAATATTTCAGAGAACACCACGCACCCTGTGTTCGTCAGTGTTCCCAAGCGTCCAGTCCGTCCGTTCTTGGCTGAGGACGGGACGGACACCGGTTTCTGGAACTCCGCCCTGGACGGACGCCCGTCCTGTGGTCCGTCCTAACCACTGCCCGGGACGGCCGGCCGGGCCCTATAGATGACGGCCGGGCCCTGTAGATGACGGCCGGGCCCTACAGATGACGGCCGGGCCCTGCGAATGACGGCCGGGCCCTATAGATGATGGCCGGAAGATGCCATTTGTATTAAGACTCCCGGGCCCGGGCGTCAGCCCCTCGGACGGCGGTCTTTATCAAAGACGGACGCCATGCCATGGCGTCCTTACCCACCCTGCCCGGGACGCCCGGGACTACAAGCCCGCCA